TAATGGTTATACAAGGTTATATAATAGATCCTAACAGTTCTACACACCATTTTCACTTTGAATATAATATTAAAATACAGATCTGACATGAATTATTGCTGTTAGGCTTTCATATCTTAGTAAAGTGTGAAGCAATAGCTTGAGATAATTTTTTTTTTTTTTTTTTTGTGGAGGGACAGAATATGATCAATATGTGAGGGTTAGATGTTAAAGCTTTAAACAACCTTAAATAAACATGATACCGTTATTATTTACAGTTACACTTTAGGTGCCATCAATAGGAAATTATGTTAGAGATGGAAAAAAAATATGTTTCATGTCCAATTAATTTAGCACATAAATGGAAGAAGAAATTAAAGTGGCCAAAGCAGAAACAGCAGTTGAATTACTAACATGTTGGAGGTACACGCTATTCTTGGGTTTCATCATGCCGATATCTTAGAGCAAGAAATAATTAAGGACTTGAGCACTTCAGACCATTTCAGGGCAGGGGGAGGGCACATAATTTTCAAACAACTGCTCAAAATAACCTCAGAGTTGGGAGACAATTTCAGATTACAAGTGGTGATAGTTTCAGAGATGCAAACAGGTAATAAATATATATAGCTTTAGGCCATCAAAACTCTTTATTATTCACAGGAAATTATTTCTTATTTATAAAGATTTCCACAAAAAGAATTGACCTTCATAAAGTAAATTTCTTTAACAAAAATGTTCCCCTGATTGAATTAATCTTTTTTCTTCTCATGAAAGAATACAAACACACAATAATTAATTCCTTTAACAAATACATACAAAAGTAAACATGGAAATCTGTCCATTGTCCTTTTCTGTGCCCGGTCCTGCAGAGACCTGCACTTCAGACAGTGTCTGCCTGCTTAAGTCGTGCCTGTATGAAGGGACTTAGAGTGAAGGGGCTTATTGATCGTCTTCTATGAGTGAAGTCCAGGCATTAGTTCCAGCAGGGTGAGTCGACAGCTGTCCATGAGCCACTCTACTGGGCCTACATAGCAGGGCTGAGTGGAGCTGGGATGTGCACTTTTGATTTTGATCTCCCCAACATCACTTCTATTGACCGATGCACTGTCCTGTGCCTTACTTGCTGAGAGAAGCACTTGCTGAGGCCTTGCTGGAAACCCGGACACAAGCCACTGTTGCATTATCCGGGCTGCCGTTGACAAGCTTGTGATGATGAATCTTCCATGGTCTGTTGAGACCCAGCCCTAATCACTGCTGTCATCTACTGGCAACTGCTGTATCCACTGACCACAGCAATCACAAGTTGGGTTATCATGGTACACAGGGCTGGAAATTCCAGTGTTTGTTATCTAGATATAGATGTGGACTCTATCCAAAGTTGGGTCAATCTGTTGTGAGAGAAGCCCACTTTTCCACATCTAATTTTTTCTTTGAAGACCAGAAACTTTTATTGGCAGGTTACTTTATACTTTTAACAGAATCCAATAAAAATAATTGTCAGTTAAAGCTATTATTATTTTCCAAACCCCCAAAGAAGAATCCAACAGTCAATGTTGACGTTCTGGTTAAATTGATCTTTTTGGATTTGGGAATTTTAAACCCATGCTGGAATCTGAAATGTCCATGGTTACACGTTTAAAAAAAAAAAAGTTAGTTAAATAAGGAGGTAGGGACACCCATGTGCTTTATGTGTTTGTGTCAACCAAAACTTAGTATTTTATATCATTTGTGGTAGCCCAGTTGCCTTAACCCTATTTTGTAAGACAGATAAAGCTGTGAGGGGCTTACCACTTGATCTGGTGACACAGGCTTGCTTGTTCCAGTTCTCAGAGACTAAGAAAAAAATCTCGATATATCCTGTGTCATCCTGATGTAGCACCTGTGCATGAATCCAAAGAAAAAAAAAATACAGTGATACATTATTATTTATATTTCATTTACAAATAATACACTTCCAACTAAAATTTGACAGTTCTTAAAAAAAGAAAAGGAAAAAAGAAAAAAGAAAGGCTCCTTATGAACAGAAAAGAACCAATGGTGAGTTCTGCCATCTAGTGGCCGTTAAATGGAATGCAACAAATGGAGGCCTCAAATGCTTCCAAGCTTGCCTGTACCCATTATTAATTACATTCCTCCCTTTTCTCTTCTTTAAGTTTAATATAATACACCCCAGAGAGTCTGATCAGTTTATCAATCCCAGTGAGTCTCTGGGTGCCCATCATTACTGGATGACATCATTTTCTTAGCTCTCAGCAGCCTTCGGCCCTCCTCGTAGTCGTCTTGGTCCACACTGATCAGCAGGCGCACGCCTTCGGAGCCCGCTGCATTCCTCAGAGAGTCCGTGATGAATACTCCCTTCAGGGCCTCCAGCAGAGCTCCGGTCAGGTAGTCACTCCAGAAAGCCTCGAGGTTGGCCAGCTCCGTGAACTTGATGTCGCAGACGATGGATCCCAGGTCTCTGGCACGCAGCAGCGAACTCGCTTGACTGAACAACTCAAACTGCCGCTCCAGTGGCTGCCGCTTGTCCGAGGCGACGCCGTTGCGTAATGCCGATTCGTGCTCCAGGTATTCCGCCCGGACACGCAGGCGGATATCTGATAATGGCAGAGGGAGGAGGAAGTAATGATGGACAAAAGGGTGAGTGGCAGTGAGGAGAGAGAGTAATGGTAGGGAGAGCAAAGGGGAAGTGAAAAAGGAAGGAGGAAAGTGAAGGTTACCCAGAAAAAAAAAACAACGAAAAAAAAGAGAAAAGAATGGATAGGCCCATGACAGAAAAGGAGGGGTGATGAAGTTGAAACAAAGACGGGGGAGAGAAAGAAACAAACATGAAAACAATGTTAAAAGATGGCTCATTCAACTTTGTGCAAGACATCAAGCAAAAAGAGATTGTAGGATTACTAACTGGACTTAAATATTTGATTTTACCAAATCCTGACAAAGTAAGTGAATACGGTGGTGGAACAGGGCAAATTATTTACGAAGGGCAATGGACTTAGACCAACCCATGTGAACTTTTGTGCTCAATACAGCTACAAGCCCCTCTCGTCTGTTTCAGTGAAAGATATTCAGAGCACTGAGAGAAATCGTCTTTAGCTCATCCGGCTGTGTAGATCCCTTTTCTTTTTTGGATGGACAATTCCTTTTTAGGTACTTATGGTTTTTAGCAACATGACTGAATCAGAAGACGCTGGTGCATGAGAATTTTCTGTACGACAGCCAGCATGGTCCTCATAAATCACGGCTGTAGTGTTTGTATACTGAATATGATTAAATGAACTTGGCACCCTGAGCAAATATCGCAGCGGGGGTAACAAAAACAACTCAGCAGTGACAAGCCCGGGAGTGGCTTTTGTTCCTGACAGGTGTTTATAAAGGGCAGATTCATTCAGATCAAAATGGGTAAAGCTGAGAATAGATAGCGTCTGGAGTTCCGTAGTAACAGGATTGGTGGTCATGCAACAGCACAGCGAGAAAGATTAGAGGATACATACTGTACTGAGCAAGAGCAACGCTGAGATCATCTCCCATGTCATTATTCCAGAGCTCCAAGTGGGAAATCAGCTTCTGACGACTTTTGCTGCAACAAAAATCCATTTCTCCCATTCAAACCCCTTTAGCAGATGTAAACAGTATTTACCAGCAACATTTCTTCCAGAAACATTCGCATTAAGAGTCTCACTGAATTCATGTGCAGAAGCTGCTTTTTCATATTTGCATCTGAATGCATGATGACATTTTATGAAGCAAATAAGGAAGGAAAGAAAAAATTACAAAAAGGAGCACTGTGACTAAAAATAAACAAAATGGCTCAAAGGAAAAAAAAAAAATCAAATCAGCTTTAAATGCTACAACATGAAATACTTAATTTTGAAGGAATAAGCAGCACATGGTCACATGACAAATGTTTGAATGAAATGGACCCAGAGGTACTTCTAATACACTCTGACAAAAACCCAGAGTATAAGGTAAGCATGATTACGAGACTGTCTTGAACTCTTCTTCGTGTATGTACCAGAGGATTAGTGTACACTTTAACACACGTTTCGACTTGAGAGTCACACCCACCCCTCTTGCAGCCATGTTTTGTTTCGGGCTATAGGGAATGGCGCGAGACTCAAGAGGGATAAAGTTTGGAAAATGCCAACATTAGAAATGCAAATGTTGAATTAAACCATTGATTTTGCATCTCTTAACATTTGTAGAAGAGCAATAAGCAAACAGTGGCTTTGCATTCATGCCCCACAAGTCTGTAATTAGATTACTATAAAAACAGAGACTTGTTAGAAGGGGACACTAAATCGACACATTTTAAGCCATGTTTAAAATGTGTAGTTTTTACATGACAATCATTTGAATGAAGGAAGAACGTTTTCTTCAAAAGGGATTTATGGTACAAAAATTTAAAATGTCAAGATTTTTTAAAGAAACCTTCGATTATAGTTCAAGTTTTGTTTATTAAATCATGTCCGTGTTACAATGTTTCAATAAATTATGTTAGACTAAA